TTTTCTTTTTGATTTTTTCTACCTGGATTACCGAGATGCATTTTATTTATTTTGTTTTTCTTTGAACTGATTTGTATTTCTATTGTGCAACTAATCTAAACTAAACTAAGCAAGGTGCAGATGACATAATGTGGATCAAATTTGCAAACAAAACGTAATGAAAATGTTTTGTTTTTGTGTTTCGGTACAGAAAATTATCCTTTACAAAGGTTTTATGGGGATTTTTAGTTTAGTTTTGTACAGAGATATCCAAACATCTGCCTTTTCTTTTGAAATTGTCTCAGAAGTCTCCAAAATATATAATACTCAATAATATACTGTATAAAATAAAGTTAAATTATGACAGAAAATTGTCAAACATAAAATATCTAACTTCTGTTTTTGTGAGGATAAAACAATCTGTATTTTACAGTGAAAACTAACAAAGTTAAACAAATTAAAGTTAATTAAAGTAACCCAGTATTGGTCCAGATCCAGTTCCCAGTCTGCCATTTTAGAACTTCTTTTTTTTTTTAATAATTTTTTTACCTACATATGAAATGGGTTTGAAAATAACCATGAATTTGTTCCATTTCATATTTGAACACAGTAAACGTTTAAAAATGTGATGAAGAGAACCACACGAGTGAGTTGAAGCTTTGAGGTAGAAGCAGCACAGTTTGGACTCACAAATCTCGCCAGGCTTCCCTCGACGTCGCTTTCTGTGAGGGCGAGGAGCTCCTTCAGGCTGCAGGATGCTCCAGCTGCAGGTTTCCTGAGTGCAGATCCTGCAGCGATGCCCTGCATCAGAATCCAGGCGCATGCCACTCCAAGAAAACCTGAAAATATAATATTTTAAAAAAAATGACTGCAAAATTTTAGCATCCAGTGCAAACAGCTGAAAAAAAAAGGTAGTTTTTGATGAACTCTGATGAGTGAAGGAAGGGAGCTGTTAACTGTACCTGCTGTGGAGTTCATTCTCATTTAGCTCAATTACTAATGTCAGTCATTTCTCATGTTTATAGACTCTGATAGAGGCGTGTAAGATTTAAGATAAACATCACCATATCCTTTCATTAAAAAAAGGCTAATTTGTTGCTTCATCTGGTCAGCACCTTTTTATCACTTCCTTTAAAAACCTTACAGAACTGATGAAAATTATGTGTTTCACTAAACTCAGCTGTAATTTAACTTTTTTCAAAGATGGAAAAAAAAATTACTCTACAATTAAATTAAAAAAAGTCAAAACCATCATTTTTTTATGTTTAAATCCAACATTTGAATATACGTCAGTTGTTTTATCAAGTACTTAAGTTGTGTTTCCTGTGCGTCGATGTGACTAATAACTAGAAAACAAGTGGCCGTTCAAGAGAATTTCACTCCAGTTTAAGCCTCTGATCACATTTTCTTACCCTGATTCATTATAGGAAATCCTAAAGAGAAAACTTCTTAGAATAACCAAATAAACCAATGTTTTTTATTGAAAGCCCTCAGCTCATTTGATTAAAAAAAAGGCAAACAGTTGCAGGTTTTACTGAATCTGAATGTTTTAGATTGTTATTGTGGTTAGTTTATGCAAAAAAAAAAATTAACTTGCCTTATTAATTACAAAAATGCAAAATAACACTGCTACGGGAATAAAAATAATAATAATAATACGCTGAGGGGAAGAAGAAAAGAGGTTTAAATAAAACTTGCTGCCTCAGGAATAAGTGCAACAAGCAAATTACAGTCTCACCTAACTGGAACATACCTCCTGCTCAGGTGAGCGTGGGGCGGTCCAAACAAATAAGACACACCCAAACTTCAAATATCATAGAAACTTTGAACCAAAACAAGTTGATTTGAAACATACCGTCTCATATACAACAATTAAAAACACACACGTCATAAAACTGCTTCTGTTCAACAGAATTTAGAATTTATTGTTGAAAGACAAAGCCAGCCTCCCACATGGTGACAGTAACCAGTTTCTGCACTGTAGTGGACAAAATGATGCAAAGCTGGTTTCACTCATCGCTGATTGAGCAGACGATCCACACCAAGATCACAGATGAACACTTTTGTTACATTAACAGGTGAACATGTACAAAAACTGTTTTAAAATCCAAACCGGATTTACATTTTTAGCCTTTTCAAAAACAATTCTTTGTCAGTCTGTTACACAGGGCATCTCACAATGTTAGGATCAGTTTTAGGTAACAAACTCCTGAAACTGGGATCTGCACTCAGCTGTTTACACTTAACTGCTGTCATCACATGTTTACAGTTTACAGTGTCATCTGACAACTTCCTTTTTTTACTGAAACAAACTAAAACAGAAAATTTTACCTTCAATAATCACATGGAAAAGAAAATCTTTAGAAAAATCTTATAAAAACACATTCATTGTCCTAGATTTCTTCAGCTCCTCTGCTTACGTCCCACTTTTATTTTTCTGACTCGGTCTCAGGTAAAAAAGTCAGAAAGAATCTGCACGTCCTGCCAAAATTCAGTGTGAATACTGAGTGCTGGAAGATTTTTGTTGAATAGCTAAAAAAGCTGAAACTAGCCTAAAAATAGTTCAAACAACTGAAAACAGCACAAGGAAATGAAAATATCATATTTGCTGAATTACAGTAAAGAGCTGAAATTGCCACATGAAGATGAATTTAGCTAAAAAAAAGGGTCATATTAGCTAAAAAGTAGACAAAAACACAGAAAACAGCTGAAATTAACAGAAAGCAGCAGAAAGGAGCATGAAAGTCCCAAGATAGCCGAAAGAAGTTGAGAAAAGCACAAATAGGTGAAATTAGCAGAAAAGATCATAATGGCTAAAAAGGCATGAAAAAGCTAAAATCAGTTAAATAGAAGCCAAATGAGCTAAAATTAGCACAAAGAAGTAAAAAAGCAGAACCAAAACAAAAGGTTAAAAAGGGCAGAAAAGATTTATAAACACTTTTTTTCCAGGATGTTGAAGTAAGCTTTGTTCATTTTCAAAATAAAATAAAATAAAATAAAAATGACAGAAAAAAACTAAACATCTCAAAACGTATAAATTGCAGAAGTACCAAAAGTCATAGCTGAAATGTGCTGCAAGAGCTGAACTTTGTGATATGTCAACTGCATAAAAACATGCAGAAAAAAAGATAAATCAATTTCTGCTTAACGGCTTTATAAGAGTCACACAAAATGTTCCCTGAACTCAGTCAACTAGTGCAGTTTTAACGAGTTTCTTACAGTAGTTTTCCAGATAGTTTGGGACCAATTCTGAAAGTCAGGTCCACACTAAACGTAAACAAAGCACTCATCAGGATCCACTGCAGTCTGTGGAGGTGAACAAATGAGTCCACCAATTTAACGTGCCGTCACTTTGGCCATAAACAAATGTCCCAATATTTGCCCATGGAAGTCATAATTTGGAATAAATAATTGTAACATTAAATAGGAGTTTTAATAAATAAAAAAGTAGAAATAATTTACAAATAGAAATATGTTCTGAAAAGAAAAGCCATCCTTTCCAGAAGAAATAAATATCATCTCTGTTCTCAACTCGTTAGCATTTTATGCAAAGAATAAGAAATGGATTAGTCTAGTCTGATTCCAGCACCAGGATTTTAAAAATACTGATTATTTAGGCTACATTTAAAAAAAACACTAAGCTTTTCTGCTGAAACGACT